CCTCAAAATAAATTATACATATATATATATATATATATATATATATAATCCAATTTAAGCAGGTACATGTATATGCTATTTGTACATCAATCAAACGCCTCTAATGTATGTTCGAATTTAATAGGCTTACGACCTCTTTACCTTGTGCCCTTATTTCTCCCTAATTTGTTTAGTAGTCGTGCACATGAAGGGCACCGTTTTTGTGTTTTTGACTGTCAATACCGCATTAACACCTTCTTCGCATATTATATTGTTAGTGTTGAATTATCACGTATTTACTAAATAATGTCTTCTTTTTTTTTCCGATTTCATTTTTTAATGTAGTGTTTACTCATTATGCCAGTTTTTTTGTTTGCACCAGTTCACTGTGAATTAGGCTAAAGCTCATGTGACAAACATGACCTAAAAACCAATAAATTTAATACATATTTTACTTAATATTGAAAAAAAGACAAAATATATGTCGTAGTGTTTAATTACAATGTAGTATGTGAATCGTGTGTATAGTGTGATAGGTTTGCCATTAAATCATTATATAAAAGAACATATTTTGTTACATATGTATGTACGTTTTAGTAAATTTTTGAAAAACTTTAAACTTCACTACTAAATGTTTCTATTTTGAATAATGCTTAAGAAAAGACAAAAGCCACGCAGGCTTATTATCATAAAATTTAAGGTGGATAGATAGAGAATGATAATAATCTCTCATCTACAAAATCTTAACCACAATCATGGATGGAAAATACACTTTAAAGACAGCCCTGTCCATTCAACCTGGTAACAAAGATGGCCGCATACGCATTCGAAGTTTCTCAGGAATAGGGTATTTTTTTATTGGCCAAACTCGATTTTATAATGCTGTACAAAAGCCCTAAAAAGAGGGTGGTGAATAATCATATTTAGTTCAGAAATGTTTACTGTTGCTTGAACACAGAATTAGCTCGAGATACGTTTGGCAAATTCATGATGTAAACAAAATATTATTCAAAACTAAAAAGTGTTCCAAAACAATTTTAAATGTGTCCATCCCAGTGCAGGCGTTACACCGTACTGAAACTAGTGCAATTTCAAAATTGTCTTTTGTTCTTTAATTATTTGTGTCATAAATAACTAAGTATTAAAAGAATGTAATTAACAGCGTTCTTGTTCGTATTTCAGTGTTATTAGTTATCACAGTTGCAATATGAAAAATACTGTTTGTAAATGTCAATAAATAAATGTTTAAAGCTATGTAGCTAACCTTGAAATAAATATTGCAATTCACAAAGTATAAATCTGTAATATCAATATTTCATGTACTTAGCTCCATAAATATGGGTATATAAAACCCAACAAATTTTGAAATAGAGGAGGGGTTAGAAAATAATTCCCTACATAGAGTGGGAAGTCATGTTTTAAATATGTAACAAACGTGTTAAACATAGGAAGTGAATGACCTAGGAGAGTACTACTCACATAAACTAAAAAATGTGACAACCATACTCAGAACTAAGATAAGGTTTATAGAACAGATTCTGTTTGTGTTTATTAATATAGTATTGTATTATTTTTACCTATGCGGGAAAGTGAAGTGTTTTAATAACAATGAACCGCCAGTTTGCTTCAATTTAAGCTTACTTTTCATGTCAGTAATCTCCAATAATTATATAATGTGAAAGATTTAAGGAATTGTCCTAATTTCAAACTTATAGGAGATTTAGGGCCCATCCCCTTGTACTTACGAAAAGGCCTGGCACGGCCTGGTGATTAGGGCACTCATGCTGGTAGCATGTTCTTTGGTAGAGAGTAGCCTAAGAGTCGGCAGGGGTGGTGGTATTGACTAGTTGCCTTCTCTCTAGTCTGTTATTTCTAAATTTACATTAATATAAAAATATACGCAATAAGAGAGACGGAGCTCATGGAAAGAACAGAATGTGAGGTGCTTGTACAGAGTGAGAGATCTGTGAAATACAACATCGATGTATTTTTTTGGCCTTGTCATACAACAACGTGAACAATTATTTGCTCGTTATGAGGGGCAGCAAATGATCTGTTGCCCGAAATCTCCAGTCAATAATTGACTTATTCTACCCACTACCCTCTTCTGCTTTTAGTTTTACTGAACATTTTTATTAGTTAGAGCTGTCCCATAGTATATTTAGCCTATATCCCCGGGCCTACATGTAAATCTTAGTTTGACATTTCATTGACGATTCTGATCTCCCATAATTAAATTGTCTTCAAAGTTCTGCTACAACAACACGCTTACATGACAATAGCCTTGACAATTGGGCAGTACTTATGTAATTTGTTGCCTAGCTTTCAAAATAACACTGAAAAATGTTTCATACCACTTGATGCGTTCTTGGCAAATAATTCATGCTAAATGTTTTGACAACTGTCCTATTATATCTCTCCACATTTCTCTGTGTAAATAATATCCATTTTGGTGTATTTTTAATTTCATAATTGTATAGTTGTTTACACCTGAATATTGTCCAAGTTCTGCCAGATCTTTAGTTGTTGATTATATTTAATTGTTGTATGACAAAGCTAGAAAATACAACCATTTACTTCACATATCCCACTCTGTGTACGCGCCTCGCGTACAGTTATTTGCATGATCTTTATTTCTGACTACTTGAAACAGTCTGCATGGTGCACTTTTAGTAATTAAGCCTGACGAAGGACCGTGCACGTGTTTTTTTTAAACATTTTCCAATATTTCTATTGAACATACTGCAATTTCATGAAAGTGTTATACTTTTTGGGGTAACCTGTACAGCTTTAGATGAAATGAGCGACGAATGACAGTGTTACCAAAATTGTATTATTATTATTGATTTTGTATAAATATAAATTTACACAAGTTATGTAAAAATTTATCGTAATATATTTTTGTTGGTTACGTTTCAAAAAAATAAAAAATCTGTCGAATTTCATTAAATAAACAAAAGCATTCTTTAAATACGTGAATACAGTAGTCATATTAATCATTACGTTAGTCGTGACTGTATCTTTAAGTGTAAAATATGCATGTAATTAAAATCTCGGACAGTTAAAGCTTATTGAATTCAAAACACTGGATATACAGAAGATAAATTCTGTTAGTGACACCACCAAGGCTGTTGAGTATTTTCATCTAAATGGCCTCCTTTCAGAATCCTGTATTCAAGACTTATCAATCATTGTCACTAATTGTTGACTCATCATATCTGCCTTAAGGCAGCCCAATTATTATTTTAGCAAGTTAGAAATGGCGTTGCAGTAGTAGCAGTTGTATGCCCGTAAAGTAAATAGTAGTGTCCTTTTTTTTTTTTTAAGAATTGAAGTGATATCATGAAAGTGATTAATTTTTGGTGCAATATATACAATACCTTTTATCTGAAAAAGTTTAAAATTAAGCATTTTTTTTCATTATTGTTGATGTCATGTTTCTGAAGCAGTGTTTTGTCAACTGTGAGTATTGGAGTATGAACCATAGAAACAAGAATTGCTTGGAATTTCCATATAATTATTTCATATTTAAATGATTATATCATTTCTTTTGTTAAAATTTGTTTCTTTGATTTCCTCTCAAATTTTTTGACAATCTGTGTGTTGAACTGTTTTTTATACTTAGTGACTATAATACATTTGTACATTTCCTAACCTGTTGTATGTCAGAAACAAAGCTTGTGTAAATTGATGACTGAATAAAATCATGACCTGAGTTTAGAGCAGAATTTCCCACAGATTTAGATTTGGCTTTTTAAAACCAACTACTACATTGTACTAACACTGCCTTTCATGTATGCTTAGAATGATTTGATCCTAGGCAACAGTTTCCAAACTCCTATCGTCATGACAAAAAACACATCCTCATTCTTATTGCTATACAAAATGTCCAAGTCTTTGGACTACTGAATAACAGGTCCCTTACATTTGTAGTAAAAATTGTAATGTAAAACATTTTTCTATATGTAAAACTGCATCAAACGAAAAATTAATTTTTTATGGGTTCTAATCTGTTTATATGTGTCAGTTGTACTAACTTTCAGTTGTATCCTAGTGTTGCTGTCTGTCACTCCTGTGTTTTTTTTTTAGAATCAGTGTCTGTATTAAAAATAAGAGAGAACAACTTAATGGATTTGTGATAAAATATTTTTTTTATTCTTTTATCTCTTGTTAATATTCTAAACAACAATTTCCAAGGAATTATCCAAACTGTCTGTGTTTGCTTTCCATTAGTTGCAAAGTTGAGTGGCTTGTGCTGTCCTGTTATTTTGTTTTTTCTTCATATTCCTATCTTAAACTTTTAGGTATTGACTAGTCATACAACTTGGCAAGCCTGTTTTAGTATCCCACTCCTTTTGGCTATTCTAGGTTCTACGTTTAGATTAACTCGTTTCTGTTGTAAATTCTGTTTTTTTTTCCTTTTTTTTGTTTTTTTAAATTAAAATATAAGTATGTGTAATGAACTTTGAAAGAATACTTAATACATATTCTCATTAATTGTATACAAATTAGAATTTGTGAACATAGTCAAATCACAGCACATGAAGTTAATAACTAACTTTGTGTTGATCTTAGCCCACTGACCATTTATGGGTATACATTACTTTAGGTTTATTTACACTTCTGTTACTACCATTAGTAGTTACTAGTACTGTACATTTAATAAATATAGTTAGAAGCATTGACAGTTAGCATTACAGCTCCTAGGATGTTGGCCTAAAGCTATTATTACATTATTCTGTTAATCTAACAAATTATCGTCAAGTGTATGATACTTGCAATATTATAATGCACTTTACTGTGCACGATTTATCTTTTTTTGTAAGTTCAATATATGAAGTAAGCTGTACAGATATATTGTTTAGGGCAAAGAAAAGTGTTGCACCAATTTATTTATAACAAAAAATATATATACACGTGACTTGTCTTATGTATATTCATTTTATGCATTGGTGTTTCATAGTGTAAATAATTTTTACTAATACTCACCATGTTTTAGTTCTAACAGCTCTTTTTCCAGAAAAATCAGAATGTTTGTGATGGTTAATAGTGTAAATTAAGTCTACAGTGTTAATTATGAGGACTTGTATTGTAAATTAAAAAAACAAAACCTAACTTTAAGGTAAATAAGAAGGAATACTACAGTTTACCAAAAGAAGCAAATAAATAAATTAAAATCCACTTTATTTTCATTAAGTAACCATACTATATGTGATTGCTTCTTTTTTCTATAATTTGGAAAGTGAGCAGCTGTAGGAGTGGACAACAGATCCCTTGATCACCATGGTGGACTATTATAAAGTTTTGGAAATACATCGATCTGCCACAGTTGGGGATATTAAAAAGGCGTAAGTAATATTTATGTTATTTTGAAAGAATAGTTTTAATTGTATGGAAAAATACTTGTTGAAAAAAATGTTAAGCACATATCATGGTGAAAATCATTACTATTTTTATTTACAAGTAGATGCTGTTAGAAACTTATTTCCTAAAGTATGTGAATAATTAACTATTGATTATTTTGATGATAATACTAGTAGGGAATATTGCAGTAAATAACTCATAAGTTAAAATGATTTAAGCTTCAGAAACTTTTTCTGATTTAACCAATGTTTTGCCCTACTTCTTTAGTTCGTCAGGGTTTTACAGCAAGTAGAATTATACAGTTCTTAACTAGACCTACTGTATTAGTAAGAATAAACATCTATTCCAAGGATAATGTTTCAATAATATAATTCTGAATGTACTATTACATTTACAAAGATGTGCACTATAAGTGAATAAACTTTGATAAAACCCTGGAATTTTGACTTATATATACACACACACACACACACACACACACACACACACACACACACACACACACACACACACACACAAATGTGTATACATACTTATGTGTGCATCTGTCAGCTATTTTCTAGAGTTTACAGTCAACAAAAATTACAGCAAAAGTATATTAATAGATTTCTTTATTAATAATTATACACCTTTTCTTTATTAACACGCATAGATATATAGAGATCATTGGTAAAAAAAAGTAATCTCAAATTGGCTAACCTATAACTTTGTTGGTCTTTGGATTTAGTGTTTTAATAAGCAGAGATTCTATATTGTTTTTTTTTTATAAACAGCAACACTTGTACAAACATTTAATAATGATAATAAGGATGAATTTATGATTGCATAGCATCCCTAAAAGGCTACATATTATTTAAGTTTACCTTGAAATGGACTCCTGTTTTCCCTTTTGTTTTTTGCAGACCTTAAATCACACTCAAGTAAAGCTTGGCAATTAATGGAATTTGCTAATTGATGAATCGTCGGGCTAATTAAATAATTACATGAAACTATTCGATTATTCTCACATGAAAGTTGGATAGTTGGAATAATCCAAAACTAATTTTGATTAGTTGATTGTTTTTGTGAGGTGGGATACAAACTGAATAAACTTGAAGTAATATAAAATATTAATGAGAAACCATAATTGCAATATCTATTACTTCAATAGTTGGATTAATTGAAAACAGTAATAATTAGAACACTAATTTGTATTAGCTGATTATTTTCATGGCATTAATCAATTTAATTTTAATTTTGATTAATCAGTTATCTTGCATGACATTAAGTGATATAATCAATGCTTAAAGGTAATTGAGTTCATCACCCAGCTTTACACTGAATTTTTGTTGGTCCAGTTGTTTAACAGCACATCTGCCTTTTTTGGTCACATATCAAATGTCCTAGTTCAAGAAAGGTCAGAATATGTTTGAATCTTTTTCCTGGTTTATTTTACAGTTGACCTTGTAGTCATGATTTTTTTATGGCTAAGCATATTTGGTTGCTGAAATGTTCACTGACTGAGATACAATTAACTCGGTAGACTTTTGTGTGGATCCTTAAGTGGTTACAGAAAGGTCTTTGTTTTGGTCAAAAGATAAAAATGTACAAAGTAGAATTATACTGATTTTGGTATAGTAGTTACTTTAGTTCTTTGGCTGTAACCTATTGAGCTCATTACAGAGATGTTGTCAGTTCTGTGTAGGTAGCTAGTGATTATGACTTATCACTTTCACATGCGAGGGATAATAATAATGAGTCTTTTAGCCTATGATGGCTGTTCCATTTGTGAAAGAGGGATGATATCTATACAAAAAGTATAGATACAGGTTTAGTTATGCTTATATTCTAAGTGTTACAAATGTGTGTGTGTGTATATATATATATATATATATATATATATATAATAAAGTAAAAGTAAAAATTAAAGTAGGTAGGGTTTAGGTTAGTTAAGTAATTACGTTTACGTAGTAGTAAGGTA